CCAAAGTTTTTAAAAGCAGCCCTAGAAGAAATTTTCAAGATACCTATTTGGGAAAATCTGGGAAGCTGAAGATAAATGAGCATTACTTAAGCTATTTACTGTTTCTCGGCAACATTCTGATCTTCTCAAGGGCATCAGAAGAACTCCAGAAGAGCTGCCCGATGTCATCCTGAAAGTAGGACTGAAAATGAAAATTAAAATGACTCACGTCTTGTTTAATGAATATGGGAATCCACGAAGTACTGAAGTCAATGGATTTCGGCTTGAAGGGCTGCTAAACTACGTCTGTTTCGGACAGTTAAATCGCTTCAACGGAAAACTGACTTTATGAGATCAACAGAAGAATAAGCATGATATGAAACACTTGTGGACGATTGAAATCTTTTCAAACACATTCCCAGGAATCTGTTACTGTGTTTGAAACAGAACGCATTCGACCAGTGTGTGCTTCCGTTGCTAATCTCTGAATGTGAAACGCAGACCCTTAGCTTGAAAGCAATTCATTAAGTACAGGCAACGCAACGCAACTTAGAAATATGCAGATTGGCAACAACAAAAACAGATCGCAAGGCGAATGCATGGGTAGGGGCACAAACAGGAGCCATAAATATTGTTGCCCAAGTAAATAAGTAAGCAATGGATGGGACAAGTTTCAAGAAAAAGCGAATCTCGCTAGAGCAGGATAACAATAGACTTGGTTCAAAGATGAGGTAAACGGACCTACGTAGGAAGACCTCAGACTGCTGGCAGAGTGAGCTGAAGAGTATGCTGGATCATAATGGATTTAGATGGCATGAAACGAAGTCGAGTTTCACTCTACATAATTGCGATATGGTTACTTCAATCAACTGTTGCATCCAATCAATCGTATAACTTATCCAGGAGAAGCTCTCCTTGAGCACAGTATGAAAGGTTTGTCAAACTATTGAATTTATAGGACTTTGGTCGTGAGTTTGACTGTCTATCAATAGATGTTCATTACTTGCATAATAATAAATACCTCTGTGAGTGCAGTACAACAAATCTGTAAAATTAGTGAAATAGTCTTGTTTTGTGAAGGTTGGATTAAGCGAGTTCATTAATTTTGAGTTACATAATTTCTTTATGCCTAATTTGATGGCCTTTGCGACTCAGATTATCGTGTTGCATTTTACATCAATCTCACTGAGAGCACAATATGAATCCATTGTCAAATTTATGAATTTCCAATATTTCCGTTTCATATCATGATTATAACTACGCGATATATCATGATTATCCATGTTGTAACTATGCTAAGACATTAGGACGTACCAGAACATTTTTATTCATTGTTTCTTTCCAAAGTTTAGCTGATAATTGCGTTGTCCGGTTATTTCACAAAATTTAAATCAAATAATATAATTTAGTTTAAAGTCCAACTTTTATGGAAGAGTACCGAGCTGACATCGAAAGTAATTTATTTATATTGCAAAACTTTATATTCAATATATAGCATCATCATTAGTTTGACAGAGGTTCCACATTGTGCTCACGGACAGCTGCTCATGGATATATATCATGGGAAGGGGGGGGCTGGATATTACAGTTGAGATGACCATAGTCCAATCATACATATTCAAACAAGCGCCAGAGGACTGCACATTGATAGCGACTATCGATCGGTGCCGAATCGGCCCACGCCAAATTGTTATAGACCGGAAGGTCTGACCCATAGAAAGACCTCCAGATCGATGGCAGGAAGAGTTGAAGGAAGTTCGCTGGATCAAGACAGATCACAATGTCAGGTAACTGAAGTTTATGGCAAAGTGTAGGAGAAATCTTCATCCAGCAGTGGATCGACAAAGGCTAATGTTGATGATTCACCTCGACAAAGTTCATACTCATGATATAATACTGCTCTGCCCTTCTGGCCCTGCACTATGGCATCGTATTTTACATTGTCTTTCAATCCGTCCGTGGTCAGTAGACAGCTACCATAGGAGAAGTGCATTGGATATATTTCATTTTTCTTTTTGAGCCGTTTCGTTCATCAAAGATCGACGCAGATCAGTGATTTCCTTTGACAATTCTGACGAGCAAGTCGTCGTCAGTAAATAATCGTTGAAGATCCAGTTCTACTATCACAGTTGCGAAATAGTTCACTTACGGTGTAATTGAAATCTGTTTAAATAGGGTTTATGACATTCCAAGGGCAATGCGAATGAAACTGCTTTCAAGATGATGATCCTTGTTCTTTTAACGGCTTTCCTACCTTTAGGCATTCGTACAGCATTTCAAAATATGCTTGTGTTAGGTCAATTTACTGGTTCAGCTGAAGTTCACCGCCACCATCATTGCCTTAAACTCTTCCACGTTGTGAAATGGATCGCTCATCTATCGCAGTACCATTCACATTGTGACTGTGTTCTCTTGCTGCAAATCGCAGAGGCATTGTCATTAGTTCTGTTTTCTTAACTGCAAACTTATCGCATGAACTTTGCTGTACATTGTTTGTCACACCCAGTAACTCATTTGCAAAGTCGTTCAATGGCATGATGTTGTGCCGTTATCTCAGCTTTCTTAAGACATCTGGCTATAAATTTAGAGTTAATGACGTTGGCAACATATTTATAAATTGTGGCGTTTGTTTAAGAGAATATTACAAGGCATAACGTTGAACACTCTTAAATGATCTAAGAAAATCGCTTTGAAGAATTGTTCTTGTGTGTCCATTGCATAAGGAATGAAGTTGTAAAAGTGTGTTATGACATCGGCGGTTTCAGATTTGCATTGTTAGCAGACCGAAGATTATGTAATGCAGAGCCCACATTTTTGTGTGTATGAGGTTTAAGCAAACATTCCAAACTTTTCAGCATGACAGACGCAACTGCAACGGATTTCTATGAACGAAGTTCATTCAGTTTGCAGCTTTTTTACGACATTGAATTAATCCTACCTACCAAATTGTCAGCTTTCCGGTATTACTCAATCGTCTACACGGCTGTTGTAAACACTTACAGTAAGACAGATAATTCGTGCGCACAACTTCTCACTGAGCCTGAATGAGCATGATCAGGCTTACGAGAAACGTTGCTGTTGCCAAACATGGAGAGGCAGTGTGAAATATCGGTTGATGAGAACTGCACAAGCATTACACTTTATAAAGTAGCGTCTAGGGCACTGAAGTCTGGCCCAAGGTGATTTTTGCTTAAACATTGCTCAGTCAAAAGGGTTTGTTCAGAAAGTCAGAATCAAAGTTTGCAACTTCGTTCCTGGCGAGCTACCACATAGGAATTTTATGGCGTCGTCAAACTGAAGCATTTGCAGCAATACTAATGATTTGGCGGGAATCATGCTGAGTTCTTCTATTTCAGCCGTGATAAGATTGGAACACGATTTCACGGTTTAACTACCTTCTTCATTGACAGCATTATTTAAATACACCGTCAGGTCCCAGTTTTGTAGCCTTGAAGTGATAAATTTAGATTAATCTATTATACTTAGCAATGAACTCCATAAATCGAAGTTAAGTTGATGAATGATAATATTAATATCATCTTCGCGATTGCTGCCCGGAAACGGATCCCAATCAGAATAGCTAAGCTACCTAATATCCCGTCTTTGTTTTTCTGAGTCGTAAATCACGGCAGCCCCTGCGATGACAGATTTTTCATAATATTGTATTACCAGGCTTGAATATAGCCTTGAACATCACGGCAATTATTTAATAATGTGAACTGCACGCATGTTCGACCGAACGTTTAAGAGTACATGGCAAAGGCTGTCTAAAGCAGTGCTATTTTTAGGGATTCAAGTGGAATAATATAGACGTTGCGTAGTATAATTTGCTTGAAAAACGGCAGTAAGTTGGGTCTACAGTATACCAGAGCACTTTCTAAACTACTGGACGTCAAAGCTAACATAGCCCACAATTTGGTATAGTGCTTTAAGTAAATATATGCAACGATGGCGGTTCCGTTTGTTTTGAGTCTTAAGTTGCGACCTAGTCTTATGCTACAGATATCTTTTAGTGAAACTATAATTGTGAATAAAGATTTCTTGGGTCACGACAATGCAAATGCTGGGAGGGCAGGCAGGTTAAGTGTTGCTTTTAGTTGACATAATTTGTTATACCGACAATTTTTCGATATGTATGATGAATAATTCGACTTGGAGACATCGTTTCCTTCAGGTCTTCGCGTCAAGCAGCATCCGTGACCCTCTAGCAAACCTTTTTCTCCTAAGGTTTGCCACTACAAAAGCATTTAGCATCGCTGCACATTAATACACATTTATCAATATTCATAAATACAAGAAACAATCGAAAAATATAAAAATAAAGAAGAATCTCCTGTCAGTTCTCTTAATTCACGCGTCATAGTCACATGGCCTTTTTACAT